CTCAGGTCAGTCAGTGGATGAGAGTGCATTTGACACACTGCTTAATGACGTGCCACCATACGACCTGGCGTCAATGAGCATGGGCAATGCTACTAGATTATAAAATGCACAAAGTTCACAAGACGTTCGCAAGACGTCAAGAGGACCGGCGTTGAAGCGTTTGTAAAACGTTTATTTAATCTAGAGCGTCTACAGTAACTTACCCCTCTCCTTTTACTATAAATGTCTGTTAACCTCTGTCCCTCTCTCTCTCTCTCTATCTCTCTCTCTTTCTCTCTCTCTCTCTCTTTCTCTCTCTCTCCCTCTCTCTCTCTCATTCTCTCTCTCAACTTTATATGTCTTTTTCTCACTCTCTGTTTTCGATGGAGGATGATAAGAAGCGTTTTCTCACTATCGTAAACCAATACTCCCCGATGTATACAGCAATACCGTTTGAGTCAAAACAAAGTTTACACCTAGAAAATTGCTAATTATTTAAAAAAATCATCTATGAACAATAAATTATTATACATCTTATGAAAGAGCATTCTATCCTAAATCATTTGGTATCACTTTTGTGTGGTATGTGTTCACGCTTGGATGAACAGGAGGCATTGTTTGCGAGAGTGCAAAAAGCGACTTGCGCCAAATTGATGCCTATACAGTGTTGGGATTAAAGGGAGAGAATGAATTGAATGTATTGAATGAGATGCATTGCATATGCCATTTGCAGAAGCAAAGTCACACAAACACACACATATACGCGCTATTTGATATGTGTGGCATGATTAATTTTTGTTAGGGATGTTTTTTTGATCTGCAATGACCGAATTAATACCCAAATCCCAATTGTTTAATTCAAACATGACATAAGCAACTTTGGCGCAAGTCTATTTTTGCCCTCTCGCAAACAATGCCAAGCGTGAACACATACCACACAAAAACGATACTAAATGATTTGGGATAAAACAATCTTTCATAAGATGTATAATAATTTACTGTTCATAGATTATTTATAAAATAATTAGCAATTTTCCATGTGTAAACTTTTTTTGGACTCAAAATTTATAGAGGAGATAAACAAAGAAAGACAGAGAGATGGAGAAAGGGAGAGTGTAATAAGGTTAGCTACAGAAAGAGATCAGACTCCGATAATTTGAAACAAAATAGAAATGATGAATTAAGCTTCAGAAACATGTAAGAGTAGAAAATAGTATGAAAGGTCAAGGTGGTGATTACAATATAAAAGTATTTGCTTTGGGCATTTTATCAAGTTTATCAGATCGTGTTTTGAACAATGAAAACTGTTTCATTAGCTCTTCTACCTAATCTGTCCACACCGATGACCGATGATAAAGAACGTGTCCCGGCAGCAGTTGACCAGCCTACACCAACTTAGATGAGATACCAATAACGCCTTTCTTGTGTTTAACTTCGGGAAAATTACGACGGGCGATATCCAAGAGTGAACTAATCCTCGGATGGCATATTTACTTTTATCATTAAAACATGAAAACTTTAGAAATTGTAGTTATTATTTGTTCAATTTGTCACGATTTATAAGATTTAGTGTATTCTCCATTCGGTCAGAAATCGTATTAATCACAATATTTTGTATTTCATAATCAATAGGTGACACATTTTTCGTAAATTCTTTTCATTTTTAAGGAGATTTGTTGATCGAAATAGAAAATAATGGTTAGAACTGAGTGGAAAGACAAAACGATTGGGCTTTTACTAAATTGATGGGACAAGAAAAGGGTGACATTACAAAAATAGTAATATATGTGGTTTTTAAGGCGCCGATACCACTTGAAATCAAATGTTAAAAGCGCACTCGTGAAACAGAAACAAAGAAAGAGATCACGTATTAAAAAGCATCTGCGTTATAAACAAAGGAACAGAAGTAAGATATGATATACAGACAATACAATTAAATATATGCAGACTTAAACAGATATGTTAAAGATTATTCTTAAAGAGGGTTATATCCTCACACTGAGCAAAATAAATTGAGTGTAACTGGTTCACAATGACACACTGTTGAATATAAAGTATAAGAGTTATTCAGAGATGCGCTGTGTCATCATGCATCTAGCGCGCCATGTTAATTGATTGGCCGATTGTTAGAGATGTCATTCTGTTAAAGACCCATGCAGGGCGTGACCGCTGAGTTCTAATTGCTCTCCGTCACGCTATAGCACCATCCCGCATCATCAACATCATCAGGGGGTGTTTCACAAAGATCATAATTCGAACTTAACTCAAAGTTGGACTTAAAAATTATGGAGAGCCATTTGTAGCCTTAAAATTAAATATTTCCAAGAGCAAAAATGGAAGTATTTTAGACTTTTCATAAATTCCACATCGAGAACATGAAATCTCCCTGATGATAAAAAAAAAAATATGAATGATATGAATCAATATTTTATGCCTTATGAAATAACTTTTACAAACAATTTTCAATGATGCTGACGGCTTTTCATAATTTCCAACTTAGAGATAAGTTCAACTTAGGATCTTTGTGAAACACCCCCTGGTCCGCAATATTTTCACTATGGAGACTTCATGGTCCACAGAAGTAGGGTATGTTAAGCCTCAGTCGTCATCACATAAAAACATCTTCATCAACATCACCAATACCTTCATCATCTTCTACACAACCATTATCATCATTAACATTATCGTAATTTTCATAATCATCAACATTATAATGCATGCTTTCAATCTCATATCCAGTCGTAAAATATTCCATCATAAAAAATATTATAAATGTAGATAATAATTCGTGTTTGAATGAATGACACTGTCCTTCAACTGACCATATTGTTTGTTAAACATTTTTTCGGAAAAACCATTTCGGGAGCAAAATCTGCTCTGTAAAACATTATCACTATTTCTTTGGGGGAAATAATGTTAATCATTTGCTATAAAATTCTATGTTCTTGTTTTTACCGATGAAATGTTTTAAAATGAAGGGGAAAACCTGACGATGACGGGATACGGGCCTTGCTTAGCATTCTAACACAGTTCCTCGCCTGCACTGCCCTACATCTTTTGCGGCAACTTCAAACTGATATACACTTAACCCTCTTTAACGGTCTTCATTAACCCCCTTCCACTGCTTGAGTAAGTTCTTAAGTAGCTTGTTAAGACGATGTAATGGGATGGGGCTGCATATTTTATAGGCTTCTTCCCATATCATACCTGCATTTATTCACGTCAGCTATTCAATTTGCTTTGCACGCTCAGGACCGCCGAAGCGCCGCCACACGTCGCGAATATTAATACACCAAGCATGCCTCTATAGTTGCAACATACTTCATTTATGTATCGATATAGAATATAGTAATGATTTCAAAATATGATAATTTTAATAAAGGTTGAAAAGAATAATCTCAACGACACTCTAAAAAAAGACGTGTTAAATCAACGATTTAGAGTGATTGAATTGGTAGGCTTATAGAAGTTACAGTTTAAATATGCTGAAACAAATAATCTTTAAAAAAGCCCGAGTCCAGCAAGTTTAATATACACAATAGTCTACCGAATTATAAAAAAATATTCACTTATCAAATCTAACGAGTTTTTATGAGTGTGTGAAGCTGTTGTATTAAATTTGGAAACTGTAAACGTCTTCTTTTTTATGACTTTTCTTTTTTCTTTTCATTTTTCATTTTTACTTTTAATATATGTTTGTTTTTTAGAAAGGTATTTTTTAAAGGTATGATTTATATTGTCTTTCTTATTGGACGTTGTAAAGCCAGTGATGTATAACGACATTCCACTGAAGCACATAGAACAATAGTCATTAGACCGCACAGAATGAAAGAAACTCTGATGAAATCCATGTTCATTTCTGCAAAATATCTACACTTAATCTAACATTTTTACTATTATATATTGAACCCTACAGAAATGCATTGAACAACAAAGCAGGATGCTTATATTATTAGTCATTCAGTGCTTGCTTGCTTGTATTGGTGCCCCGGGGCAGTTGCGTAGCATGATTTCAACCATTAAATGGCAACTGGCGTCATTGTGAGGGGAGGGAGGGGTGAGGGTATCTGTCATTCGGAAAATAAATAGGGGAAGGGTGTTGGACTAGATCCTATTTTTTGTCTCATGTTTACCCATGTATTCTTTCCTTTCTCGTCTATTCTCTTTTTTTGTAATAAACTTTGTTCCTCTATTTTGTCTCCGCCATTTTATTAGGGGCACACGCCCCGGGGCTCCCCTTGCCCCTGTGTAGCTACGCCGCTGACTTGGGTAGTAGGTAATATTGATGTTGATGTTTTTCTGAACTTACATATAATTTTTGTGTGGACAATGTCCAGTCTTCAATAAATGGGATGACAAAATGATACACCTCGACGATGAATCGTGGAGCATCCAGAGCTTCACAGCGGCCCGACAGGTGCCGAGGCCCCATCTCCAGCGGGGTGGCGTCCCGACAGAGATTCGACGGAGAGGAGCTGGTGGAAGGTGCTTATTACCATGGAGGAGGAGGATAAGCCCCTAGCAACCAGATGTCCCATGTCAACGTGACGTCATGGGATGATTGAGCGCCGTAGGGAGGAACTGGGATGAGGAAAGGTGTTGTGCATCAAGATACCTAGATTGGACTGATGGGTCAAGATGAGCTTATTGAGGAGGAACTTGGTAATGGTCGTGACCACCAGAAATGTACCCGTCATGATGATGATGATGATGATAATGATGGTAGTGGTGGTGGTGGTGATGGTGATGGTGATGATGATGGTGATGATGATGATGATGATGGTTGCAATGATGATGATGATGATGACGGTGATGGTTGCAGTGATGATGATGATACTGATGATGACGGTGATGTTTACAAAAGACCGATGGGAAGGAAAAGAATTGTGGTGTCGGGTGGTATCAAAGCAAATGATACATATTAAAATATGAAGGAAAAACTCAAGACTGATAAGAATTGAGTGTTTTTCATGCTTAAAACCTGCTGTACACCACAGAGAGAGCGAGAGAACAATGCGTAATTTGGTTTGACGTGCACTTTATTTGCTTATACTTCTTGCATAATATTGCATAGTGATATTAAGACATCTGAATTTCTATGTACATACGTATAACTCCATCCTTTTTTCTAAGATAATAGTTGCATACAAACACACTAAACATTCCTTCTTCATATATCCCTTTTTCATCTACATGTACAAAAATACACATAACCTCTCATCAAATCCTTTCATGAACAAATTGAACGCCTGCTTTTCTTAAAAATGCAGCGATACTGAATAACGATTGCACTATAAACATATGGAGTACCGAGGTGTGACGTCATATTGGCCAAATTGTCAAGGTTGCTGCTACACCCCGTTGCTTGAATGATTTCGCGGTGAACCTCATGCGCAGGCTCTGTTGTTTAGAACCAGTAACCGGGACGACACGTGAATATGACGTGAGCACTTCGGTACTCTATACATATCTCTATTTACATTCTTCTTACACTTTATACACAACGCTCTAAAACATTATCTTGAGTTTTTTCTTTATACAATATGGTTATGAAACACGGTTGGGAATCTTTCAAGAATATAAACTTTACATCAGTTCTCGTGATTGCAAAAACAGCTTGAGCAAAGGTCAGCAGTGAGTGATCACGCTTCCACGTCTCTGTGTGGCTCTTTCGCACGAAGAATGAAGAAATCTTAACTCTTTGTCAAACAACTCTTTAATCTTTGCATTCGATGACCATGGTGAATTTTGTATTTGAGTGGTGAAGTCTTGAAAGTAATAAATACAAAGAATGATCTGATGATTGTGTGTATGAACGATTGACCTCGAAGTTTTGTTTTATAATAAATTAGAAACATGTTATATGTCGTGTATGCACACTATCTATTTCTTCATTTAACTCATAGCCTCATGCGAGTAAAACCATTGTTATGCTGCCATGTGCGTGCTTGCACACATTCGTAGTAGCAGTTATTGTTCATGCTCATTGTAGTGTGCTGTGTGTTTTGCACGCGCTATTCATAGAACCGTCGCGTTAATGTGTTATACGCGACCGCTTGTGAGTTCGCCAAGTGACATTTGACGGTGCGAAAGAGCCTCGCAGGGACGCATAAGCGTGATCACTCAATACTGTGCTTAGCCCAAGCTGATAAAAGTGGAAAGCTATGGGCATTCCTTGTTAGTGATATTCTGGAAATATTCCAACCACAATTTGCCTCTGATATAACAATTTTATGTAATGAAATTAAATTTTCAATGGAAGTAGTCAACATCATATCAATTAATTTACTTTAGCAGTAACATTTCATTCGAGTGACATTCTTCTTCTTCTTGTTTCTCTCTCTCCGTACTTTCACCAACAAAAATATACATCTTGAATGCATTCGTAAATATAAAATCTCGTATTTATAAAGAGATCGACAGTGACCTGAAATTAAATAAATCAGTCCAGGAAGCGCAGATTATTAACTTCTTTCTTCTTTACAAGATACTGTAATAAAAATTGAATATACGAAATCAATTTAGTCGAGAAATTCACATTAGAAATTGATTTCAAAATTCCATGATTTTTCTTCGTTCATTTTGTTTCAAGAAATGAGAAGGTTGATAATTGGTGGTTTATCCTTTAGTGGAACATTTACAGTTTGGCAGAGGTTAAAACCTGGACTAAGGTAGCACGCTTTTACAACTTTGGGCCGAAGGCACTTTTGTGATTTTATTGAAATGAACATATTAGACCCAAAGGCACATTTGGTAACATTTAATTGCACTTAATATAACTTCGATTTTGCCCTTAATTTCTAGACATACTTTCTGCCTTGTTCAATGCGCGCGGACTATTTTGTTGAAGTCCCCAAGAAAGAAAAGGAATCTTCAAAAGATGTAAAAGATTATTCTAAACCTTCATAAAAGCATGGTAGGCACTTTGGTTCAATGCTCAGAAAGACAGATGAGTTTCCAATCTCTCAGTGGTCATAATTTCATCTTTTACTTGAATTTACAAAAAATGGAAGTATATATTTTGTTATCATAATTTCTACACAAATATCTTCAACTGAAAGACGTTTCTTGTTCACTATATCATCATTTCGCACACCATAAAATAATGAACATATGTTTAAAATGTAAGCCTTTTTTCCTCGGTAAAAACAATAGACACATTATTCATATCCATCATGATTGTGTATGCATTCGTCTGCGACACAAAGTGTGTGCATCTCATATAGAAAGACAGTAGATATTGCATTTCGAATGTCTCTTTTGCGAGACCTTTAACAATTTTTTTTCTGTGCTATTGGCAGTTTACGATCATCTTTAATCTACGAAATTCAATGAAACACTGGTTTTTCACAATCGTGATAATAATCGATGTGAGCTACGTAAATTCCTGAAATGAACCTGATTTACACGCTATATTACCAAACTTAACATAATGATGAAAGCTTGACATATTATTTGTCCAATTTTTGTCTAATCAAAACATCAACATTCTCTAGAATTGTAAGGTACAAATGTTTGCCATTGCTTGGATAGGTGCTTTACAAGAAAGAAGCATTTACAAGTTAAGGGAAAGAACTAGGGTATGTCCTATCCCATAAATCCTTCATGTTACACAAAAGACACACCGTCCGAACTAAAACTAATCTTGAGTGGAAATTACAATATCATGAATATAAATATAATGTATTATCTGGCTAGTAATTTATATAACTATAACTCACTTTCGTTTCAGTTACCACATGTAAAAATGGCAAGATATTGAACATAGTTATCCAGCACCCTCGGCTGGTAAATTTTGGTATCGAATTCAAAGATCGTTAATATGGCTTTGTAACATCTGTCCTCTGAGGAAACGCATTTATTTTTCACACCTCTAATCGAGGACATTCAAGACAGGTGTACAAGGGTAACATGTTACACAATCTTTGCACCCTATAATATCTCAGGCACACCACCAAACCGACTCCAAACCAACAGCAAACTAACCGATTCTTTGCCTTTCGGGGGTGGGGTCATGAATTTCCTTGTTCGGTTTATCAAAAGTCGGTCTAAGTTCGCTCTTGTCGATGTAACTGGGTTATCAGTCTCACTGCAAAACCGATTCCACACCGACCGGTTCTAGGCCATTCGGGGCAGTGTATTCTTTTATTCGGTTTAAACTCGGTCTCTGTGGTATGATGAATCACTGATATTGGATTTCGGAAGCATGGTAGAAGTCGTCGAGGAAAGAATGAAGGAAGTCGAAGGTCGGACGCTTTTCGGGCTGGGCGTCCCAACATTGTCGCATGATGTCGTAGAGTTGTTCGGGGCATTCTACTGGCTTGGGCATGCGGTAGCCTCGTGAAACCTGGTCCAGTACTTCACGGTTCACCATGCCTGTTCAGGAGAAGAGATTTGAATAGATGATCAATATTTGGTTAATGATAATCAATCATTGTGTGTTTTTCAGTTTGTGAAATCAATTGCTTTATACCTTTGCTCATCAATTGCATTCAAGTTCCACTTTTCATGAAATATAAATGCCTAGAAACCTTGTTTTAAAATCAATGTCCCTGTTTGTTTTGTTTTCAATGTTCCCGGCCCCTGCTCCCCTTCCTCATTCTCTGTTTCCCCTAACCGCGTTTAAATACCTGTCATTCTATTTATAATAAAATTAACGCCCATACTATTGATGTATTTCTTTTGCTGTATTGTTGGTTATCTTTCTTTTCCATACGCTATTTTTTTTCATTTAACCATGGTTTTAATTGTTGTCATAGCTCTACCCTTATTTGGGAAAGGGATAAACGTAGATTTTTTTTTCTTCTTTCAGTTGGGGGCAATTTCCTTGTCTTTTGATAGATTTTGATAGAATAAATCACGACAGAAACTGTGCCATTTCTTACCTGGATAAGGAACACGCCCCTTGGTGATGACCTCATATATAAGAATACCGAATGACCAGACATCAGACTTGATTGTGAACTTTCCAAAATTGATTGCTTCCGGGGCAGTCCACTTGATTGGCATCTTAGCACCTGTTAGAGAAAGATATCAATATTAGCCATGATAGTTTTTGATGATAATAATGATAATAATAATACAAATAAGAATGATATTTCTTGTTTACCCAGGGTATCCTCATCGGTATTAATAGTATTTCTCCCTGAGAGCCATGCAATCATATTTGTATTGAATATAAATTGTTACTTTCATATCAACTTTATGAAATTGAAATCATTAACCATAATCACTATTAAGGTGATTGTCGGTGATAGAATTGCAGAATTCATGCAATGGGTCCCAATACGTGACCTCCAAATAGGGTCTGGCATAAGTGTACACCCCCCCCCATCTTCACTTCAACTTGCATCATTTATTTGTTTATAATCAAAAGATTTAAAAATAAGTAGATGACACCCATTCTTTTTTAAAGAAAAGCAAAAGTACACCGCTAAGTTAAAATTTTGAATGGGCTGTCGGTATAATTTCGCCTATGACAAAGCCGAAAATATTCCACACAAAATGTCTTATATGTTCTCCAAAAAAATCGATAAGGCTGAACAGGGATGTATGGATTATTTCTTTTTGAGGGCATGGATATATTTATATGTAAATATATATCTAACTATTCAATTTTTGATGAGGTTTTCATTAGCACCACAATACCCCCACCCCATCCCCACAAAAAAAAGGCGTACGGTTACACCAAAATCATGTCTTACCTTCTCTAGCGATGTATTCATCCTCGATGATTCTGGAGAGACCGAAGTCGGCTACCTTGCAGTTTCTATGCTCACCTACCAGGATGTTCCTAGCTGCGAGATCTCTGTGTACGAATCGCTGGGATTCTAGGTATGCCATACCGTCTGATACCTGGAAGAAGAAATAATAATAATAATATTAATAATAATGATAATAATATTCTGTCTATAGCGACCACCCAAGGGAAACACAAAAAGTGGTCCTTGTAGACAGGTGGTCGTTGTAGTTCCTTTAGTACATGTTTCAATGAGAAACCGTTTAAAAGGAAACAAAAAATTGTGGTCTTTGTAGACAGGTGGTCACTAAAGCAGGTTCGACTGTAATAATAACAATAATAATCCTAATAATAATCACATTTGTATAGCGCTGAATACTACTTTCTAAGCGCTTTACATTGTAATTGTTATAACCACGGTCATTGGACTCAGTTGCTAATCCGCACGAAGTAGTGCACGCGCTCCGCTCCCTGGGGAGTATTCTGGCAAGGCGCCATTTTACTAGCGCACACGTGCGAATCAAACCGCATTACCGTTGATATCCTATCGGGTACCCATTTAACACTTGCAGTGGGCGGTGAGTGGCAAATGTCTTGCCAAAGGACATTAGTGATGCGGTGGGATTCACAGTCAGGTGACATATCCTCTACACCTCTAAATAAATAGTGTAGGAATAGTAGGATTGATTCAATTTTATATAGATATAAATATTGATGCAATACGAGCAGTTTATAGTTCATCTTATCGAAATTGCGATCATTATCGTATTAGGCGTACGTCAGAGGGGCTGACGTATCGTGCCCAAAATTACATAAAACGTTCAAATTTCTAGAAAGTTAAGTTTAACAAATACATATCTAATCTGTCATCAAAATATTTCAAATAGGATATACGTTGCTTCGCAAATATTAAGTAAAACATCCCCCCAAAAGTGGGAAGTTTAATATTTTCAATGGGACTGCACCCCTCCCCCACCTCTCCACGTCTATGGTTATCACTGACGCACGAATGAACAGAAAACAATCAATATCCACCGAACATTATGTTCGTTTTGATGCACATTTCTGATAAGCATGACACATTCTAGCTACTTGCAAGAATTCAACTTTAGGCAAAATCAATATTGTGCATCATCTCTAGAAATGTCAGAACATTAAAAACGACCTCTTGATTAGGCCTAATCTGAAGAAAAAATGGTATATTGGAAGAACACTAGAATACTGTATTTGTTATTTTGTTGATATCTTGAAAGTCTTTACAATCGTGTTTAGGGGCCCGTTTCATAAAACTTGTTATCTATAACAACTGCTAAATTTTTATGACAAATTTGCTCTCAGCCAATCAGATGCCATGATTTCAGTAGCTTATAACAGTAGCTTGTAACTTGTTATTGATATCACGTTTTATGAAACAGGGCCCAGTTTTGTTCAAAGCTTTTCGATTATGTAGAACCGACGTTAGGAACATTGCATCCAAGTAGATGACCGAGGGTGGTAGCCCAGGGAGTATTCGCAACTACATGTAGTATCGATTCGGCGTCGGTTGGTCGTTCGACGTCGAGGTCTTACCTGAGCAGTGATGTCGATGAGCTCGGGTTCTTTCAGATGTCTGCCCTCACCGTCGTGTAGGTATTGCAGAAGACAGCCATGTGTCATTAACTCTGTCACGATGTAAATCGGTTCGGCGGCCTAAAGAATGAAGAAGAAAAAACAGTTGTCAATTTAAACCTATGCATCTTCGATGGTGATCCATTCTCATGCAGTTTTATCTTTGTATGCATGACTGCAGACTCATCTATAACGTCAACAGCCGAAAAACACGACATTGTAAATTGATTTATACGGTATATAACGTTGACAAACAGAATGTTGATTTGTTACATTACATTGTAAATTGATTTATATGATATAATATGTCCCCAAACAGAATATTGATGTACATCAATGAAGTTTAATAAATACAATACAATACAATACACGACTCATTTTCGAATCGGGGATCCGTCAGAAGCGTTTTATAGGCGAAGATAGAGAGTTTACTTGCGGGCCAAATCCTATATCCCTAATTAATATAAAGATGTGCCCTGGTCTAAACATGAAGCAGAGCAAAAACAAATCAAGACGAACCATATCTCTCCGTTTGGTGGGGCCCATTGCCTACTACTCAATGTATGGTTTAGAGATATATTTCAATCTTTGCCTGCTTTGGTTTGGTTTGACACCTTGTTTTCGTATTTATTATGTAATAATACGATGAATACTATGATATTCTTTTGAAAGTAAAAGAACCACATGAAAGGAAATTAAGATTCCTTAAGCGAAACTATATTGTCATTGAATCTCCAGGATGGAACGTTATGAAATTCGTCAGCCTTATACTAGTAAGTACATTAAATCAATCATATCTCACCAACAATTATCTAACCATAAAAAATACAGCTCAGTTTATATACATTTTAGTATATTACAAGAGCTCGATACGTCTGAGGAAAGGAGATGACGATAACATGGGTCTAGGGATGACTCATAAATGAAATTCATGATAAATCAAATGATTATTAATTATACATTTTGAAATTACATAGCACACCACCCACCGATGCAAAGTTGTGTAAGAAAGTACAGACCTGATTAACCGTGCCAACAAATGATAGCTACATGCTGTGAACACGTCCCATCCATTTCCGATGGGATGCGTCACCCCATTTCATGGTCCCGGTTTCACACAAGAAGTGATTTGGGGGCAACGCTATTTTGGGGCACAACCCATCTCCGCGGTAGCTATTATTAGATGCCGGTAGTTGGGTTAGTTCCAACGTTTTCAGAACGTCAATTTTAAAGTCTGACTAGCTTTGGACATGCTGAAAATTCTAAACTCAAACGAGTATGGATAGAGCTACGATTAAGCTGAATATCATAAAGATTTGTCTTATATTTGAAAATATCCAAGCAGTGGTGTAGCAATGGAGAAGCTCCTGAAGGAAGGGGCGGGGGCCCTAGATTCATGGGGCCACACGTCCACATGTAGCTTGAATGTGAGAGAAGCCGGCCACCGAGAGGGGGAGGAGAGGTTTATCTATCCTCCTCCCAGGTCACTTTGCGGCTATCCCTTTCCTCCTCTTTCGTTCTCACTATTACCTTTGTTCTGCAATTTCATTTAGGTAAAACACCTCCCCCCCCCCCCCCCCTCCTCGGAGCTACGCCACTGACTCCACTTATAACACTTACCCCTTCTGAGCAGATGGCTAGGAGGGCGACAAGCTTTGGATGTCTGAGTTTCTTCATGATGTTGGCCTCTTGCAGGAAAGCGGTCGGGTCCATAGCGCCCTCTTTCAGCGTTTTCACTGCAACGTTCACTGTGTCGTTCCACACACCTTTAAACAAAATGTATAATTTGATTAAATTTGTTTGAATTTAGGTGAATTGTAGTGAACTAATGCTATATATTTTACTACATCTAAAGATAAGACCAGTTATGGTCTGCGATTGCATTGTGAAAGAAACGTTCTGAAATCGTTCTGAAATCGATCAGAAATGGTCGATCATCTAGCATATTAGTTTTTGTTTATACTGCAAGGTTCTGGAATCATCAAAATGATAAGAAATTTGGCCCAGTCTTTTTTTTATAAAGTTACAAGCACTGTACACAGAAAGATGTATATGGGACTACGCTATAATAGATATAATAAATAACCAAATATATCAATGTATCATCACGTATCTTTCACATGATTAGTAATAAAAGCTTCCACTTCATTTTTTGAGAGCCGGGGCGTTTCCAAAACTGGTTTTTACCTTTAAGAGATCTTGTTTTTGTAGAGCTGAAATAACAATACATCGCTTTTGGTGTGATTTATTTGAAGTAACGAATAACAGTTTTGAAATGATGAGATATTAATTTGAAATGTTTATAAACAGTGATAACCAAGCTGCTAATAATGATGGTTTGATGACGATCGCTATGGTGACGGCGATAGAGATAAAAGACTGTTGATGGTGGTGATAATGGTGATGATAGTAATGATGATGATGGTGGTGGTATACGTTGTGGTTGAGGTGGTGGGGGTGGTGCAGGCGGTGATAATGATACTGATGGTTATAATCATGATGGTGATGACTATGATAACGATATCATTGATGATCTTAATGTTGACGGTGATAGCGATAATGATAATGACGACAATTATGATGAAACTCATGTTGGTGATGATGGTGGTGGCTGACAGCAATTCTCGACAGAAGTATAAACAAACAAGACTTACCTTCCCATACTTCACCAAACTGACCGTTGCCTAACCTCCTGACCAGTTTGATAGATCTTCGAGGTATCTCCCAAACATCCTTACTGATCTCAAACATATCTGGTTTCTGTCTCGGACAGGCTGTCATGAGTCTACATACTAGTCCATCAGCTTGTGCTGTAGAGATAAATAAAGAAAATAGAATAGTAAACAATAATGGGTTGCAGAATGTTTTTAGAAATGAAAAATAATAGTGTATATGCTAATCAATCGACTTAATCTTAGAACCCTCCAACGGTTGACCTAAGTAAATGCATTGTTTTCAAAACTCTTTTGCTTTTATATCACTGTGTCAATGGCTCTGCTCCACAGTCCAATATGACTTTCACGATCTATTTTGAGCAAGTGTAGGATACTGAACGTCAATATCTTTACTTGGTATATATCTCGTAATAGTTCTTTCAGATATTTAATGAAGGGCTTATTTAGTTTTCATTCAATAAATGCTTGATTTATATCCTCTTTTATATCACATTTTCGGTATACATCGTCATCAGATATTCCCCATTTGAAAAGATTACTTTTTACTGGCAATAGATAATACAGTAATTTTAAGTTAAACTCTCGCAATTTGTTTTCTCTAATGTGTGCGAGATTACGCTTGAAAACCTACCAATATCTACATTCAGTTTTTTCCCAATAAAGGCAACATGTGTTAGTTAAAACAGTTCTCGAAGGAATGAGTCTATAGAAACTATTGCTACTCATATTAGTAACATGTTTTACCTTATTTGTAACCAACAGATAAAGAGCTTTGTTTTCGTTTTCTTGTTTCGTATAATCATGCATAAATTCTTCTTTTAAACAATTGACCCATACAAGTGGTATCGCTCGTTTAAGTCTTGCATAGGAACGGTTTGCATAGTTAATGTCATGATCTATCGTTTGGCTGAATGGTTTATATAGGCCTAAACAAGGAAGGGTATATCAATTGATTGATTTTCCGATTTACTAAGGATTCATAATTAACATCCCTTTGAGCTGATTAAATGATTAATTTCAAGTCATATATTAATGAAATATAACCCTTGTTAAAAATAACACTAAGCCTTTAAATAGCTTATATGCAAATTGCGTTTACCAGAATAATGAAAATGACGCATTTTATTGCATATGCATATGTCATTGATGTACAGATTTGAGTCAATATTTTGTATATCTTAGTTGTAAGCAGTTTCGTTTGGAAATTTCATACTTATTAGTTACGTTATCTGTTTGACATAATATGGATGAGTCACCAAGATAATAGTAGTACAGGTGTTTGCATTCAGCCTGCGGTTTTTAATTTCCTATTTATTTCGACTAATATAACCCAACACAAGAAAAGACATGTAGATTATCCCCGCAGCTAGGTAAAACGATGCAACAACACAACATACGGGTACTTGTGATTGCTCATAGCTGTACCGGAAGTACTTCACCTATCAAGCTTCCGGGTGCGCTCCAAAATTAGGGAACGTGCCCTTTCGGTGCGGTTTTTGCGGATTATAAACAAATAGTCATGTGACAGAAGTGATCATTTCGTGCTGGCGTCGAAATACCCTAGGAAATGAAATTCCAGACAACATTGTCACGACCTTTAAGGGGAATTAAGAAACCTATCAAATCAGATTCACGATCAAGGAATGTACCATTTTCAATTTGTGTGTGATGCTTCGGATTCTGTAGACGAGTTCGTAAGATAAATATCAAGCAAAGCCCCATGCCCACTTTTCTTGAATTAATACCAAGGCTAAGGTTTGTCCATAGGTTAATCTTCATATTTGTTTGATCGTTTTCTTGACCATTTCGGTCTGATGGCGAATTCGCAGGCGCTGTTCTTTAAAGTTAGATTGGAGGATGCTAAGGCATGTGGGGACTTGGGGAGTTCTTCTATTTATCTCTATAATTATGTGCATCGCTCCAATTCATTAATACTCAAGGAAAAAATGGGACTTGAAGAAATTAGAGGGGGTTGGGCCCCCAAGCCCCTTATAGAGCCGCTACTTCTTATGTGTATCTTTCTGTGTTTTGTTGCAGTTCAATATGGAGGCGCGATGGCTCAGCGGCCTCGTAACCTGGATATCCTGGTTTCGAAACCAAGTCGATGTACTAGTGGCCTCTGGCATGGTTGGTAAAATCATTAATATGACTTTTAGCAGTCAGGTAAAATATAGCAACTAATAAACACTTACATTGGTAATGTTCGACTAGATCCCTGAGCGTCTTGAATGTAATACGTGTGCTGATATAGTAGCCTCCGTTGTCCAGGGTTCTGATTCGATAATGCTTGACGTTGTAGCCTCGTGTGTCGTCATGGTCGAGCACGGACAGTGAGTAAGCGCCTGGACAAAGAGACAACGTATATAGATGAGACAAGGTTTAACGAAAGACTAAACTAATGTTGGCCTCCTCCTCCCCCTCTCCTCCTCCTCATCATTGACATCATTACCCTCGTCATCCTTATTATTATCAACGTCGTCGACATAATCACAGTTTTCACCACCGTCATTAATATCAAATTCATCATCATGTTCATCATCATCATCGTCGTCATCGTCTTCGTCTCTATTTTCATTTTCCTTGCCATCATCATCATCATCATCATCACCAAAACCGTCATCACCATCATCATCGCCATCATCATCAACACCGTCATCATCACCACCACCATCATCATCATCATCATCATCATACTCTTTATCATCCTCATCACCATCATCATCATCATCATCATCATCATTCTCATCATTTTCATCCTCATCACCATCATCATCATCATCATCATCATCTTCATAATTTATTCTGTCACAAGGGGAACCATACCTGGACTTGTTTCGCTACCACGCACGAGGAACGTTCCTCTGGAGTTACTCGTGAGCTGGAGCTGCTTTTCTGCATCTTTCCTTGTCATCTTCTCAAAGAACCAACTGGATGAGGATGGGGAGGGGTAGTAAAGAGAGGTATGAAGAGAGAGGGTTAGTTATATTAACCATCGGTTCAAACATTGTGCAAAACATAAAAAATGGAGATTGTTTCCAATAGAAGGGACAGTGAAATAACGAGGGATGAGTCAGACGGATGAAAAGAGGAAGGAGGGGAGGGGAAGAGAAAGATGACAGTTTTGACATTGGAAATTCAACAAAAAAACATTGCGGGTGCAGTGTACTTCTGGGACCCGTTTCACAAAACTTGTCATCAGTGACAATCGACAGTCTTTTTTATAAGCTACTGAAATCCTTGCTTCTGATTGGTTATCAGCAGATTTGTCACTGATTCTTGTCATTTGTCATTGAAAAAGGCTTTGTGAAACGGGTCCCTGATTGTACATCGAAACATTAGTAACGCTAGACATCTAGAGATAAAAAATATGAGTAGAGATGAAAGAGATATACGATACGAGGAAAAAGGGAATTTGCCATTTCTACATAGTTAATCGCCCTCAAACTAGAACACGTACAAAACACATTAACTGTGTCAGCAAGTGGTATGACGGTGGTATAAGAATGGGATACATGATTCATAAGACCCTGAATTCGACAATCACTGACAATTTAAATCCCGTCGGTACTAGTTTGGCCAGGGGGATTAGACCACCCTGCAAGGTCACTGACAGGTGTTTATCTAATCAAATAAACTCTCAATTAACATAAGAAAAAATGGATGAAACGCATTGCATGAAGTTCAAATTCACCATTAAATCGCAATCATCACCTCAACGATAAACCTTCATGCGCAATAGGCCTTTATGCTTAATTTTCCCATTGAAAAAACTGTCACTTTTCGTCAATGTGTTTTCCGTATCAACATTTGCAACAGGTGGCATATAAGCCGGACGTTATTTTCCTATATCTATGCCAGCGCCCCAGATCTGTCAAAGTTCGTATCCTCTATATTTCGCATCCCCCATACCTCCTTGTAGTAATCACAGGAAGTTCGGTCCTACCCGACGCAATTGGAACCAAAATAACCAACACCCTTGAAAAAGCGTATCAAGAAGCGATTGACTGAATTAAGAGAAACTATTTATCCAGACTCTTTAGTATGAAGGGAAAGAAATTGAACAGCGATACCCTATCAAGCACTCGATACGGAGTTCGAAGCCATACCATGGTATTGTTTTACTTTGACTAACATCAGCTAACTTTGAAACTCTCCACCAAAGTTGTGTAAATGAGAATCCAGTAGGATTGGAAGAAAAATATCCTTAAATACTTGAGCAGCCATAACTTCAGGTCATGGTGGCTCAAGCCTCGAAACTCCTACCCATTTTAAAGGGTCTTTTGCAAGGGATTTTTTCACGAAGGCCGGCCCATTTTTCACAATGTTGGGGTGTTTGTCATGCAACCACCCCCCCCCCCCCCCCCTCCCTCCCTTCCCGAAATATTGGACATTTTGAAGGAAAAAAACGGACCCATGTAAAGTTATATTTTTGTGGAAAATGGGACCCATGTTTTGGTTTTTTCATGTGAAAAAGGTGACCCATTAGAGCGGCACACCCCCTTATGTCTTAATATGCGAGTACCCCCCCCCCCCCCCCAACCCCCCCCCCCCCCCCCCCCACCCTGGACCCTGGGTAAATAATATTTAAGTTATTGCTTTCACTATCATTACTATCTTTCCCACCATGGACGTTACACTGCCAGTGTTTGGGACTATATTTTCCAATGTTATGGGATTAGCGAAAACAAAAAGAGAGAACAGAGTTCATGCACTCTAATTACATATATCAACACTATTATCTTAAAAGACCCGAATTCTGGCTAAAGAGACATTCGAGTCTCAACGAAATTACAGTTCATTTATTTCAAATACAGTCAGATACGCCCATTTTCGCCAGACATTTGTTTTTCTTCAGGGAAGAGGCGAGCCGGGGACTACTGTTCAAGACCGAGCTTCCTTATCTAGTTCCCACACACTTCTTGAAAGCTTGGCCTTTCCTAAGCTCTACCCGACATAATCTTTTGCTACCATGTACAACTAGCTCAGCTATCCAGTATGAACTATGTGGCGTAAACAAGATGAAGCGCAATTTTTTTTCTCGAATGCTAGAGATTAAAATACGCGCTAGAAGCCATGAATATGTAACATACATCAGCAAATGATCGCAGAGGATTAATTCCAGATCTTTTTAATCCGCCCTGACTGATGTGACACGAAAGTGAGCTTCATTGCGGCATTAAATCGGACGGATTTTATAAAATGTTGCAACGTGATTTCATGGGATGTCAACAAAGAGATTAGCTTACATTTTAGCATTCAGAATATTAGAATTCATAGAGTACAGGGAACGTATTAAAGGTACATTATCCTACGAATGGATGGCTCAGAAATCCCTACATTTGTGACCTTTCTTTAAACAATAAATGATTATTAAATGATAACATCGTCGTTGTAGAGCTCACATAAAACCAACAACAATGAATATGAAATTCTTCGAAAAAAGAGGTCCCGCGATAAGTTTTGCTCTTCGAATATCATCGCATCTTCAACAAAGGAAAGCGTCCTTCTTTATCAAAATCTCTTAGATTGTTATCAAGCCAGGCCAGAAACCCATTTTATCTTTTACAGTCGATCAGAACTTTCTACGCAAACTCTTACTAAAGTAGAACTAGTTCACGTAATTTTGCATATAGTTCAGATTTGCAAGTTTCATGCAGGGAGATATTTGAATAAAAATTGGCACAATACTACATTTTTGGAAAACACAGCGGTTTATTATTCAGGAATTTAGCTCTTTTTTACGATTCCCAAAATGCTAAGAGTTTTATAGAAGCTGTCTTCATGTAGCTTAAATAGGGAAACATACATATAATAGGGATATGGTAAGAATAAAAGGAAATATAAAAAGACTACTTACTCTTCCGATTGTAATAGATCTGCTGGTTCGATATAATTTCTAGGGACATAACCTTCGCGTTTAGATACCACTGAAGATGCTAACCACCAGTTAGGATCACTAAAATACACAAATAAAAATAAAAGATTATTGTTAAAGATGAAAGTAAGGAGATGTATAAGTAATGAAAAGCTAGTACCAAATAATTTCATTAAATTGGTTGACTGCGGATCGTCAATAGATTCATTTTTAAAGGCATATTTGTCAAAATGTGGTTCTCATATCTCCAGAAGCTACTTACATTGGTCTATAGATGAAGATGTATGTAACATATTAAACCAAATATGAATAGCTCCCGACAGTACGTAGATGTTAACATTCTATTGAGATATTTAGATGACAAGATATATCAAATATAAGCTTCCTTCTTTTAACGTCAGAGACTGATTTTTCAACAAATTTATCACAAGTTACAACGAGTACAAATTAAGAAGTACCACGAATGTTTACTGTGAATGCTATTCTTCCACAGTTTCAATAAAAAATAGCACCGATTCTTGCACCCGAACCATAAAAATAAAGTCTTATGAGAGATAATCAAATCGGGTATTTCATGTCGTAAATGCCAATGCATTTAATAATTTTCGTAGGCATTCCAATTTGACACTTCAATATATATTTAGTCATTTTATAATGAAAAGCATCATTAATGGCACTAAAATTACAGGACCAAAAACGACCTCAAAGCAAGTAAGAATATTGAATACATTGTAAATCTTAGTTATTCTGAAAGATCATGTTGATAATTATTTAAACATGCCTCTTATACCTCTTATTTGTGATGATAAGGATTTCTCCTTTTCTGAAAGTAAGATCATCAGCTGTCCTGGCTTCATAGTCGTAGAGGGCTTTATATCGTTCACCTGCAGCTGGAAGAAATGTTTAGAAAATTAAGGATGGAATTTAAACAAAAATTAGATCGGAATGTACCAGCACATTTTTGCCATATGCAATTTTTTTTCGGCTAACGCCCTTTGTGATGTATATGTAAATATTAACTATTATTATTGTATGATTGTTATTAGAATCTGTTGTTATAATTATTATCATGTATTACATTGTTGTAATATGTAGGTTAACATTCCTTTAATATTTATTTTTTGTTGAGCGCTTAGAAACTTTGTATTAAGCGCTATGTAAATGTAATATATTATTATTATTATTATTGTCCGAATATCGTCTTTTCCGTTTGTAAATTTGCGGATTATGAAGGTATATCATGCATGCTTAAGAAGTTTGCAATTGGACACATTTGACACATGTCGAAACATATGATTTAAAGGTTTATTTCTATATTTAATTAATCATTTCAATATGTTGGTTTATTATTAGAATATAAAAATGGTAAAGAAGATATTATAGACTCATTGTTGAATACTGAATACTTTGAAATGATATTTGAATCATTGCACATATAAGTGACATCAACATAAACAGAAATTATGTATATGGTTGGATTATTGATTTAAAGAGTATTTTTTGCAATATTTCAAGAAAGGCAGATAGCAAAATAACATACCATTTTTCATTTATCATAATGAAAATCATCGCATTTTCCTTAAAACTAACGCAGGACTGATTTGTACAAAATCTAAGCTGTTATAACGTATGTCTTCTGGGACCATGAGAATACTTCAATGTCTTGAATTTAAGAAAAGAAACAAGTTTTGACGACTAACGTCTGCTCAAATGAATAAGCGATCTTCCAACTAGGTAAACCTGCAACTTACGTGAACTAATTACGAGAGAGGTGCACGCATGATAAGCTCATCCGTCTATTCATATTGCTTGTCAGTGTTTTTAGCTATCTAACTATTATTTTTTTGACAAGTTTGGGGCCTTTTGTTCCTTCCACATCGTTCCAATGTTCAGGGGTAACTTGAATACCATGGAAAATAGTATACAGTTTAAGAGGAAGCCATGCATTTTGACAACCTAGGTATGTTTGTGGACTGTCTGTCGTAACAGTTTGTGTGAACTCTTCATTTTACTGAGGCTGTTCGTTGGCAGAAAAGCACAGGTGTTTGTTTACTGTTAAACAACTGTGTTTCAAATGTCAATACTGGAAAGGGAACAAGTTGTTGCAAACGCGACAATCTTTCGATATAAAACCCGCTGCACTTGTTACCCAATCAGAAAGAAAAAATATATGATTATGATGTTTCAACGTTTTCTCACCCACACTGACCTAAATAATAATACAGATATGATTGTATTTACATGTCTTTGAATGATATTGTGATCCAGAAGGTTGCAACATAGACAGGTCCGATCTTAGAATACGTCAAAAGCTTAACACTCTCTTGTAATATAAATTCTTGAAATGACAAGGGCCTTTTTCGATATCCGATGGGAGGCCATATTATTTTGGCACCGATTCAAGCCCTTCTAATTATTGATATGTTTGTATCATACTATTGCAAGCATATTCCTCAGTAGAAATGATCTCGTAGCTGCATGCCATGCATTGAGATACACTATTCGAATGATATAGCTGACAGACTGACAGAACGAAATTCTAGGGAACACAGTAATAGACGATTTTACTATTATCTTCCAGAAATAGAACGTAAGTATAAGTAGTTTGATTGCAATTTATGAAGAAAATCTGGTTCTTATTTTCATGAAACCGATTACCAATATCAAATAAAACTAACTGATATTAAAACGTGTAATAAATGTATTTGTTTGGCTGGAAGCAAAGTTGTCGTTAAATTTTGGAACTCGTAATTTATTGATAACCAAATATATGAATTAGGGCACAAAGAATTAGGACCCAGATTTCAAAATTACCAAGACTATTAAAAATGTAGTCGTGCGAGAAAGGCCGCATTCGAAGAGGTATAAATCTAAATCATAAAAAACTATTTAAAAATAAATACAAAAGAAAGATATAATAATTGTCATCAATATCCATATGTTATCATTAATATGAATTGATTGTATATCTATCACTATCATGTCAAATGGACCAGTCCAACAACGTCTCTGTGCGCTGTCAAAATACACTTGTCATGGAGAGCGGTAGAGGACGCTACTAATAACGACCCCTTCCCCTTCCACAGTGACCCTTCCTATTAGCTCAGTTAAATTCTATGATTAAATACAAGCCACTGCTCTTAAGCCTATTAATCGGAGGGATTCCTATTCCTATATTAACCGATTTCCTATTTTTGTTATCAATTATATGTTCCAGTGGTACGGGGGCATGCCAAATCGCTGGTTTCCGTCGCCCAGATTAAAACTCATGTCGTCCCTAAACCGTCGGGGCTGCGGGGGAGGTGTATAGTTTGGGGTTTGACGGTCGAGGTATATAGTAACATAGAATATGAGTTTAATTATTGTACATAGGCCTGCTTCCCATGCAGATGAGAAAGGATTGGTATTGATAATATTGATTATGTTGATAACAGAAGTAGTAGTAGTAGAAGTAGTAGTAGTAGAAGTAGTAGTAGTAGTAGTAGTAGTAGTAGTAGTAGTAGTAGCAGTAGTAGTAGTAGAAGTACGAGAAGAAGTACTAGCAGTGGTAAAAAATAGTAGTAGTAGCAGTAGTAGTAGTAGTAGTAGTAGTAGTAGTAGTAGTAGTAGTAGTAGTAGTAGCAGCAGCAGCAGTAGTAGTAGTATAATTTGTAGTAGGAATTATAATACTAATATTAATGATGATGATGATAATGATAATACTGATAATAACAATAATAATAATAATAACGTTAATAACAAGAATCATAATAATAATGATAATCATTGATAAAGTAGATTATAAAGAACATGTAAATTGCGAATGACGAAACAGAATATGGTTTTACAAGTAGGGTCAATGCTTATTTTTTTTCTTCAAATATCACGAGTTAAAGGTTTTTAAACTATCACAACGATGAGAAGAAATAAAAAATAATATACTTACCATGTTTAAACGATATCGACGGCGATATACCCCCGCCCGTATCAATCCCTGATCCCATCGCCCCGCCTCCCATGCCGTTGTCATGGAAACCGTGATCATCCTGGGCATGGTCTTTCTTCTTGGGTGAGGCCTTCTTGTTCTTCCTCATCTTATCTTTCATGACCTTTGACGATGACGACTGGACGGTGATCGTCGACGCCCCGGCGTGGTCAATGCCGTCGCCCATCTCTCCCGATTCCCGGTTGCCCATGCTGCTGTGTTGGTGCTGGTGGTTGTGCTTGTGGACGATCCTCGAGAAATGAGAACTGACCTGAAACAGAAAGAAAAGAAAAAATGGGTAAATAAATGATAAAGCTTGTGATAAAACTAAATTTTATGAAGAAGTATTTCTTTTACGCAATAACCTTTACATGCTCTAAAACATGTTTGAAGACAGTGAATAAAAAAATGAGATAAAGTAGCAGTGTAAAGTAGATGAGTATTTCATGGAAATTAACACATCAAAGTCATGGTAGTATTTCAGTAGGAAACGAATAGTTAACAAGGTACAGATACATCTATAGAGGAGTAGAAAAGGGAGGGAGAGAGGGGGTGGAGGGATGTTTGTAACTGACCTTTCATTAAAGGTTATACAAAGTTTTGGTACGGGGTCATGGATTTGGTCCAAATGAACTTATTGGAAGCATATGCGATCCTACAATATTCAGTGATCGTTGTCGCGGTTGAAATCGAGTCTTAATCGAGTCTTAAGTTATGAAATTGTAAATAATAATCTCTTTATGCTGTAAAGCTCCCTCTCAAGGTCAAGATGATAATTAAGCTATAAAACAATGTTTCTTGACTAAAATTGACCAATTAGCAATTCCCGTTTGGAAATTATATCTCACAACTCCATATTCTGAGATTTTCATGGTCGCAGCTACCATTGTACGGCCGTAGGCGCTATTAGAAATATTTTAAGATTTACCGGGAGCACTGGTAAATTTTTATATTCAGTTTTTCTCAAAAGCAGAAGCGTTTTAGGTGCTAAATTTTCTAGTGCTTATAATACATCCACAGTGGCATCTAAAATATATCAAAATTGTAAAGAATCACTATCCACCCAATTTTCAAAATTTCCCAAAACTTTGTATTACCTTTAACATACAACTACTAACCGTGAGCGAAGAATTTTTTTTTTAAAGTCGTTTGCAACGTGTGCAATGAAGAAACAACAATAGAGACTATGACGTCACAATGTATAAAAATGGATTATATCATAACCGAAACTAAAATAAACAAGCACTCCACATCCTTGTGTGGTTTAGCATTTGTTGCAAATTTTAGGATAAATATGGCCTTAACATTTAAAGCCACCATCTTGAATGAAAATCTACCACTACTCGAATGTGTGGGAGTGGATAGAAAGTGACGTCACATTAATTTGTTTTCTAATAATAATAATAGCCTAATAGTCCACTCCAAATTTTATTAAACCGAAACGGAAATTCCTTTTGCCCAATTGATCACCTGACTTAAACTTAAAATAATGTCAACCAAGCTGGCTAAATACATCTGACAAAAACGTGTTACGTACAACACCAAACTAAATAGTCAACAATGCTTGCAACGATACTCTATCAGAATATTAGAAAATGATGCGGACAAGCATCGTCTACTGTGTAATAAAAGCGTATGGATAATATTATTTTGTAAAGTGTACTTAGATGTTCGATTTTGATATGGTCGAGAAAGAAGAAAGTTCAGTCCTTATATCTAGAAATTTATAAACATCTTTCTTCTTTTTTTCTTCTTACATTTACATCAATGAGAATAATGTATGAGGCAAAATGTATGTGGATCCTACATAAAGATAGTAATATGTATGTTAGTAGACCAGTACAAAGTACCATAAAATCAGTGCTAACATTTTGGCAAAAGTTAATCCAACGGAATTATCTTGCAAGATTGTCAAACGTAGTTTATCAGGGATCTGTCAAACATACATTTCATGCTTATACAGTTTGTAAATTAATATTCATTTATAAATACGGGTTGCAAAAGTCATCAGTTTAGGTATGGCCTTTCCTTTTTTGTAATTAATAAACTTCGATGCAGCGTATAAGCCATCCAATATTTTAGCATGCAAGTTACTCGAATTCAATTACATGGTCGGACAGGGTGGTGCGTTACTAATATATAATATGTAGATAATCGGATGATGTCACGTATTAGATTTCCCTTTCATTACTGATTATGTCAATATGATCTAACACTGTATGTATCTCTCTCTCTCTCTCTCTCTCTCTCTCTCTCTATCTCTCATACACACACGCACGCACTCGCACACAGTCACGTTGCATTTTCACTTTCGTATATCTCTCACACCCACCCACACGCACACACTTGGTTTCTTCCCTTTCTCGTCTCTCTCTCTCTCTCTCTCTCTCTCATACACACACACACCACGCACACACGCCCACGAACACACGTTGCATTCTTCACTTTCGTATATCTCTCACACACACCACGCACACACGCACACGCACACACGAACGCACACGCACACAACTTGCTTTCTTCACTTTGGTATCTCTCTCACACACACCCAACGCACACACTTGGTTTCCTCCCTTTTCCCGTCTCTCTCTTTCTCTCTCTCTCTCCCTCCGTCTCTCCTTTCCCCATCTTCGCGCTTCTTATTTCTACAGCTCCTTGAATATAACTCTCTCCCTCTACCTCTCCATCATTCTCACCCACTCCGTCCATCAGTATGTGGTTAAGAGCGGGGCTCTAACCCTCGATCACGTGGTCTCTTATCGTTTAAGTCCTGGCATCCTGTACTCTCGGGTACCAACTCGATTTTAATCCTCCCAAAATGCTGACATGGCTTCGCCGAAAATCCACTTCAAATCTACCCCAAAACCCAGTGCCAGAACCATATCTATATTTCAAATATATTATGTACTCAAGCAAAAGCATATAGAAAGATTTCGTAGGTTTAAATTTTTTAGACACATAGATTAAACGTTCATGGGAATCACTTGCGTAATTTTGGAAGATTGTTTGTGTCAATAGCGTGGGGTCATCTCTGCCTCAAATCTGCCCCCAAATCCAGAGCCAGGATCAGAAAATAATATATCTCAACTATATAGACCCAATGAAAAGCATACAACAGATTTTCGTTCCACGGAATTAAAGTTTATTACCTGTTTATCGGTATCAGTTGAGTAATAGTGCGGGACCGTTTGTGCTGATGTTTTGGGGTCACCTCAAAACCATAAAGACCCACGAATTAGATTTGTTTTCGTACTTTCTCGTGAATTAACAAACAGAATATGATAACCCTAAAAGATCGTGTGGAATGTAGAGAAGTTCCTCAGATCTAGAGGGGATTAAGAAGAAGGAAAAAGCATCAAAGTAACGTTACGAAGACTTTCGACAAACAAACAAACAAACTTGTGTTGACCCGAACGTAGCATATATATCTTAATTAACTGATTAGGGTTTGAGGAAAGGGCGATTTTGTCTTTGAAAGTTTGATATTATTTATCCTATTTTAAAACTGCGACATCACTCTGAAAGAAATGTCGATCATGCTCTAGACCCGTGTCAGGAAAATATACAACAAATGCAAACTTGGTCCATGGATTTAATTTTTTTTTCATGAAGAGATTTGTATATTTTTCATTGTAATCAAGACGTTATTATATTGATTTAAGCATTAAATATGCATAAATTATATATCGTATGAGCACGAAAAGAGCCCTACCCCTTAACGATCAAACAGAAAGAATTAAGCGAAATGAGCTAGAGAAATCATTGATGGATACTATTCATGGTAACCAGGCAGTTGACTGGTTGATCGCAGAATTAGGAATATAACATGAGCAACACAATTAAATCATTGCATGACTTTTGAATGATTTTAAGTGAGGAAAATCATTGCTGTGTTTCTATTCGTGGCAGAATCGAGTCGATTATGCTAAGGTATTAATGTCGGCATTGAGAGCATTATGATCTATTTTCCGTATTCAGTGAGTTAATGTACTGATATGGGCATAGTTCCAACCCAAACCGAGACACTGTATGCACAGAGTGCCCCCAGGGAGAGAGGGGGTAAGTATAGGCCCTGGATGAGGTAAGATTTTAGGGAAAATGTTCAGTCTGGTGCAGATGAAAAATAGCATGTGACCTTTCTTTTATTTTTGGTTTGGAAGAATACCATAGCGATATGTATGTCCCCTAAAAGGATTTGAATTCCTTTAATCGAAATCAACCAGAATTTAATAGCTGAAAAGTAGCTGGCATAAAAGCTTGGACCAAAATGTAATGCCTCAGGTGTGTGTAGTCCCGTATACCCAGTTAAATTTGCAAAGCATGGGATTTTAAACAAGATGTGGTCAACTTCTCTTAATTTTGATCATTCCTAAACCTCACAGCAAACGTCTTCTTGTCTATTACATGTACATAATCAACCTTGGCGAATTGTCTCCAGACAGTTTCTTTCTCAGTGTAACCGTATAACCAGGGCCCCCGATTTCACAAAAACCTGTCTTCAGTGACAAATGACAGTTTTTGTGATAAGCTAGTGAAATCTTTGCTTTTGATTGGTTATCAGCAGATTTGTCACTGATTTTTGTCATTTTTCAATGAAAAATGGTTATGTGAAACGTGTCCCAGTACTCGACTCTATCTTTAAGGAGATCATTAATGTCATTGTTCCAGTCGCGGTAGGCAGTGCATTGTCAACTCGGCATTTTTCCAACCCTAAGCGAGACGCAGCAGGTAAGACATCGAGTGCCCCAAGGAAATATACAGTGTGAATCAAAAGAAAAATTTACACCTGGAAAATTGCTAATTATTTTAAAAATCATCTATGAACAGTAGTTATTATACATCAAATGAAAGAGTGTTTTATCCCAAATCATTTGGTATCATTTTTGTGCGGTATGAGTTCACGCTTGGATGAGCACGGGGCATTGTTTGCGAGAGTGCAAAAAGCGACTTGCGCCAAAGTGATGCCTATACAGTATATGTAGGGATTAGCGGAGTGAGAGAAAATGTGTAATAATTTACTGATCATAGATGATTTTTGAAATAATTAGCAATTTTCTAAGTGTAAACTTATTTTTGACTCACACTGTATAAGAGGATTAAGATGGTGCATGGTTGGGTAAGACCTTATGCTTGTGCTGAGGCAATGGTTATGAGTAAGAGACGTAACAGTAGAAATCGTTTGAAAAAGCATGCGGCTGCCACGGCAGAAAATAAAACAGGCGTGAGGTTCTGTGATGGAAGACGAGAGAGGAGTTAAAGATATCATGATATTATGCAATTTATAAAGCATCGTTCAGAACAACTCAAAGGTTCCTGCAACTGTGTACACCAGCATCACATTTTTTAAGTGTTAATACATATTAGCACCTTTTGGGTACCAGTGCTATTTTCAACGTGTTGTGACGTCATCTTTCTGAACCAGAAGTTTTGTTTTACAGGTATTAATAACCACGGTTGTTAACCTGTATTTTTTTTTAAAGGTGTTAGAGTCAAATTACTTTATTAATTAGCGGCTCCTTCACAATTTAATAACCCTTTTATGTTTATATAAGCAATTTCAACTAAGTGCGTTTCGCGGTGAACGTTTATGGTAATTCTCTTTCGATTTTATTCTGTAAACTTGGTGTTTATTATTCAAAAAAATATTTGGAGTCCCGATTTTGCGAGAGGAGAAGACGGATGTAAGATACATAAAACAGTAAGATGATAAAAATGATACCCTTAGACGACAATTTTAAAAGGAAATGTAGATAAGGATTGATTAGAGTGCCTTTAAATGAGATAATCTGTTAATTGCCTCCATGTTGTTTGTCACCAAGGCCCGGAACATATTGCACACAATTTGGGGTAGTGCCAAGAAGGGCTATACGAATGAATGAAATATACCGAATGTTCAGTGAGGCCTTGATCATTTGGGAAACTTTTAGATGTATTTATTATTCATGCTCTCAAGCCCCTGTTGATTATGAATACCTTTTTTCTATACAACACATGATATTTTTATATGATATTGTTATTGTTTAGAATTAGATGTATATTTAACTCAGCCATGTTAGATAAAATTAGATTAAAAAAAACTTTGTACAATTATTTGATACCACAATCACATCAAAAATGTTTATCCATTATATACAGAGCATATATGTCTTTTCCAACTTCCAACTCATAAAAACAAAAATTAAGTTTAAACATTGAAAAATGTGAGTCCTAGTTTATGAAGTTACTTTCGTTTAGATTTTCAAAATTAGATTTTCTATTTTGTTCAATACTTCAATACTTCAATACAATACCAAAAGTCTCGAGTAAATTGTTTTCATACTAACAAATTGTATGAAAATAAATCATCCCTCGTCAAATAAATTAAAAATCAATCGTCACAGAGAACAACCAATAATGACATTTCTGTTTACCATTGCTCAATTTTGAAAAGATTATTGGTGCTTTTTAAATATACATTTTATCGGATTGTTTTAAGAATCAAAGACAACATCACAATAATTAAACTAACAGTCCCCATCTCTATAACCGTATCAGGGGTTCCATGTAAAAATGCATTTACATGCATTTATTTAATTTTATATACTTAACTTTTGCAAAATATTATTGCAAACTCTGGAATCAATACAAACTAACATTTACATAGGCAATAAGTACTGCATTCATTCTAGTTTACCATTTTTTAAATATCCGATCAATCATTTTAGATATCAACTCAACTAATTGAAAGAGGAAAACAGTGCATGTCAATAAAATTTCGAAATAAAATAAGACGACTTGGTCTCTTCGTAATAACAAGGAAGAAAAAAAAAGATTATTTACCTTCCTGAACGAAAACATGATGATTTTTAGATGCTAAAACAATCCAAGATATTCCGAATATTCCAATATTCCTCTCACACTCCTAAAAGATCTGCCTCATCAAACGATCCACAAGAAACCTGTTCAGAATTCAAAACACACCTCTGCTCCGTTACCGGCTAACAGGCATCACTGAGCCATCCTAATTATTTAACCTTAATCGGTGGCGGTCGTTTTTTTTTTAACAGGTGGCATATGCCCCTTTCCCGACGAGGACCCTTCGAGTTAGTCTGTGGAACACCGCTGCCAAATGGAAATGCTCCGACTCAACTTAAAGGGGCATGTTCCCCGTATTCCAGAGGGCGTTCAAAATACGTACGCGCTGGCGGACGGTGCTATAGCTGCCTATTGACACCAACAGAATACGGCTCTTACGCATGTTCCGATAACTACACTGGCGGGAACGTGCCCCTTTAAACGGAGAAAGTAAACTCGCTCGCCCTTGGTTGACTGACGCTTAATAATCTCGATTGGCTCAGCTTCATATTTTTCAGACTCGCCCCGAGTTTAAAGTACTGCGTGAGGTGCATATGCTAGCGGGGAGCGCTTTGGAAGCGAGAGGAAACGGGGAATGAAGGGGGATTTTGAATCGAGTCGGGTTGTTTTATCGCCAGCCTAGTAAAGCGCTGAGAGAAGGCAGACTACAGATGATTAATCAGTTATTCAAAATTATAGAAATATAGAGCAAGAGAAATTAGTAATTCCTGGAATAAGCACAGATGTAAATTTAAACAAAAGCCCGGATTAACATGATTAAGGATCAGCTTTGGGGTCCCTCCTATGTATTTGGAATACTTGTTGCTGATTTCAACTATTATTTTATGTAAAAAGAAAAATTCCACGACCTATTGCATTATATTTTGTTTATAAGCCTCTATTTGCATTTAGACAAAGACTGGTTACATAATAAAAAGCATATTCAATTCTCATTGGTCTTATCATCGAATCAATTTATCACATTAGTATATTAGCAGCGATCGAAGAAAATAACGATTTCATGATCATTGTGATGCTTAGTAATTTCCTTCAATTTTAAGTTTTATTCGGAGATTTAAAAATGTATATATATATATATATATTCATTTGCATCCATTCACTTTGTTTCCCATGCACCTTAGTAACTATACAGTAATACAGGACCATTTAAATACATTGAAACAGTGCGTACTGATGCAGACGCTTTGTTTTGTTCGGTCAGACGCAGTACTGCTCTCTGATTGGATGACCCCTGTGGTCACGTGGTGACCTTGGATGCGAATGCTGGCGCTGTCTTGCTAACGCCATAGACTGTTTTCTTAACGATTATCTCGGAGTTTCTAGTACATTAGATCTGAATACAGATAAGCTCAGGACGCCTGACTTTATTTCTCTCTCTCTCTCTCTCTCTCTCTCTCTCTCTCTCTCTCTCTCTATCTTACTCTCTCTCCCTCCTTTTGTACATTGGTCTTGATAAGAGATAGCTTAGAGCTTCTTATAAAACTTTGCATATTTTCTACGTCACAATGATTATAAAAAGAAGCTATGCCTCGATTTAAGGCTTTTTTGTCAATTTCAGTGACGTCTTTTTAAAGTGGCAGTCCGGCGTGGCAAGAGTAAAGTTTACATTATCTCCATCTATGTTTTTGGACAAATATAACGATTAAATTTTTTTTTTTTTTTAGGGACCTTCACTTTTTATCTTAATCTATACCGAAAGTGAGCATTTCCAAATATCAAAAGGTTTTAGTTTGAATGCTTTAAATCTCCTACACTATTTATTTTCCAATTTATTTCTACAAGTACAAGATAAAAAACAAATTATGTTTGCAACTATATCTCTTCTTATTTGGTGTAACAGCTGATTATTCATAATTTACATTTTCTCGAATTATTAGTTGCTACATGCATTAACAAAAACAAAAATCACAAAACCATTGCACAGCGATTAGAGTAGAGCTATCGATGAGGGCGTTGGACCGTTTATTTGTGGTTTGGGCTAAAGTCCCTCGGGATGAATAATTCTGAAAAAGACTTTTAGGAAGGGGTCACCCTTTTGAAAAGAGGCAGACGTAGTATTGACATATCAAATATTCTATGACGTCAAACCATGTCTAAATTTACTATAACCTTTCAAATTTGGCAATGACGTCATATTTATTATTATGTAATATTGATGTCATCTGTTATATAAGCAGATGACGTAAACAAAGATTGTCAACGTCATCCGTAGTGAAACAAAACTGGCAACGTGAAAGGGACATTGTGGTTGGTTAGTTAATTAGCTATTTATTTTCAGTAGAAGAATAAGACGATTCGCAGTTTCCCTATATTCTACCCGATTAGTTCTCACTTTTTTCTTTCTATTTTCTATTGATGAAGAGCCGTAATAAATTAAATTTGGTACTATTATCATTATCATTATCAATATAATTGATATTATTATTATTATCATTATTATTGATACTTTTGTTATCATCAATATTACTGTTATCATTATTATCATTATTATTATTATTATTATTATTATTGGTATTACTATTATTATTATTACTACAATCATTATTATTGTTGTTAATGTTGTTGTCATCGTCATCATTATCATCACTGCAACCAATAAGTTTATAGATATTAAAGTTGGAGTCGCCTAAACATTTAAGTTTGGCAGCTTTACACACAAAAAAATAATCTTTCTAATATGTTCTGAGGTGAGGTATGTAACGCTTATATCTTCAGAATCCCCCCCCCCCCACAGAGCATTTCACATCACTACACTATTCCTGCCATAGATAGAAAGAAGCACACCACGATGACATTTCACCCATTCCATATGTTCCAAGTTGAGCTTAAACAGGGTCAGACAAAACTTCCGTTTAATGACGGTATTATTTCCGGAGCACTTCAAAGTGTCGAAAGAGTGAGTTTTCAAGAAATGTTACCCCTGCATCTTTACCTAGCCAGAATCTGCAGTTGTATAGATAACGAAACATTACAAGTCAGCATGTTTATCGATGAAAAAGAATAGGTGCAGTGCAATGAATTTACATTAATCTATGGCTGTAAACTTATATTTCATTTCCTCTTTATACAAAATCGAACTTAATCATTCGGAAGAATATACATTAAAGGCTACTTGATATAGAATTGAACATTATTTGACGTATTAGCTAAACTAGTTACAGCAATTAAAACTAATCTAATCCTTCCCTGCCATGGACTGGAAATGGTGTGGTGGTAGAGTCACTGCACAAAAAGCAGCTTGCAGGTTCAAATCCCTCTTTGTTGTTAATTCAAATGCAGATCTTGCGTCTATACTATAATACGGCGAGTGCAGAATATAAATGTTTGCTAAACTAATACAGGTATGACATTTCCTTCATCCAACCAAATGTCTATTAGCTGAAGGAACAGACATAAGCTATAACATACAATTGAATACATATAAGTGGGCTTGGAATCGAGAAGAAATTTGATTAAAGGTCTTTATCATTGATAATACATGTAGCATTATTAGCCCTCCTGAGGTAATAATTTATCATCAATATCAATATACACATGTACATGGTGTAGTGGTTCATTCACTTGACCCTCTCTCTCTCTCTCTAGGGACTGATGGTTCGAATCCCGACGCTAACATCTTTTTTTTGAAGACTGTAATCCACATGTGTCACAATTCATCCCGGTGTACATGTAAATGGGAACAATGCGGGTAATTGCTGGGGTAAAAATAATTATGGTGCCCTTTCGAAGAACAGCACTGCTGCTGCTGAGGCCTCCCTGGGTAAACATAATTATTTTTTCGTTTTATTATTATGATTATTAAAAAGAATGTATAGATCGTAATACAATATACTCCTGGACTTAAAGAAAAAACACCGTGTAGGCTGTTGACATTTATTTCACTTTCACCTGTTTCTTAATTTATTATTTGTCATCCATGTACCTTCCCATCTCCTTAATGTGGCCTCGAACCTTTTCCGCTGTCATTTCCTTCTGCTACCCAAAACATATAGTTTCAAAAACAAATTTAACCTTCATCTGTCTAGTTTCGATATATCTATGAGTATTCAAAAAGACAAAATTCCCGAAATATTCTTTGTGACTGATCTATTCATTCATTATCTAACCGGGGCCATGTATAATGATCATGATAAAGAATTACTTAGATCATTTCTAATTTCACTATGTTTGCAATAAATGTGACTAAGAGTTTATTTTATATTATAGATAGATATAATGCATCCATATAGGTAACCATACAATTAATTGAACGTTGGAGATACATTAAATTTGTACGACTGATTATAAATTAATTCTTCCCAGGGGTATCAATCGTTATCTGAGGGGTAACCCCTCCCCCCAAAAATATTTAAGTCAAAATTATGAAATGCATGGTGAAACGAAATTCCTAAGACTATATAGGACATTCAAGTATATTATGTAAATCTAAACGTATGTCAACAAATTTATTGGTAACAACTGAAGGAATTATTTTGCAAATGAATTTTCCCCTCCCCGGTGATGTAGCCTCGAGCGCTCATGCTGGAAAAAAGTAGCTGTCATGTTTCTCATTGAGTTACATGAAGCTGCTCCCTACGTTTAAAAAAACGACATTGTGTTGAGAAATGTGTCATTTGGATTTGTTCATAACTTCTTACTTTCCGTGTTGTAGGAAAGGGGTCCTTGCATTTATTTTCGACATGTTCCTCGCTTATATTTATATATTTTAATCGAGAAAAAGAAATCTGGGGGCTTCAATAAATATGTAAGGGGTCGAAGCTTAAGCCCCCTCCCCCTCTCTCTCTCTCTCTCTCTCTCTTTTCTCTCTCTCTCTCTCTCTCTCTCTCTCTCTCTAGATGTGACTTGCCCTTTACGAATGGAGCTTTAAAAAGCATGATCATAATTATAATAATTCTGTCTTCTAATACTCCCTAAAGTAAGTTCTCCAAAGGGTCGAAAGCCGGCAAATACCACATTATGATATACTTTAAATATGCAATGTACATATCCTTACTTAGTAATCCAAGCTACTTATGCCCCTTTAAAATGCCTAAGTGAACGGAAGTTGAGGTTTAGGGGGCAATTAGAGGGGGTGGAAAAAATGATTCAGCCCTCACATCCTCTAATTCAGGCGGTACAAAGTTTGTTCATCCCCAGACGGTTTGGATTCTCTTCACTGATTCGCTTCCTT